GGGACTACTTACGTAAGTACATACATGCAGAGCCAATTCAGCAGCGACGTGAGAAAAAGAAACTGACCTAGTTGTTCACTGGTTATACAAGATCAAGAGCTCTTATATTGACACAGCTCCCACTTTACGCTGAACGGGGGCGGTCGTTGTTGTATCAGTATTACACTAATTATGTTACCCGACGTGTACACTATATGTATTACACAAAGGATATACCAGACTTGACTACCGAAATGTACCCATACCCTTTAAAACATTTACCTTCATATCAACAAGTGCCGCGGCAGGACAAGCGCTATCTCACGTCTACTGCGCGGTCGACTCGTGGTGGCAGTCTGTACGGATTGTAGTAAACCCTGTTAGTGCCCGCAATATGATGATTCAACATATGCGCCAAACAGTAGGAAGGCCACAGGGAATGGTATCTAGTGAACTCTCTCGAAGTGCAATGTTCGTTGGACGTTTATGAAAGTTGCACGAGATGGCGGTACGTTTACTAAGGCCGAGAGTGCGAGTGCGGGAGGGAGGGGAGGCGGGGGCTAAATTTCTTCAGTACTAGTACTAGCAAATACTTCGATGTTCAATCAGGGGTCGAAATTTATATCTTTTATTTATGGTATCCATTCGCGGAATACACCGGTATTGAATCTGGTTGTCCCCCAAAAGCATCTGGTATCCCGGTATTTTTTGGCTAGTAATTTTCAACAATGGTTTGGTAATCAAAATCTTGTAAATAATAGCAATAATACGATTGTTGAACATGTTACTTAATATGATAAATGTAAATTATGTATTTACAAGAAAAATCTCGCTCCCGCGTCTAATTCTATTTAGTGGGCTGAGTGCATCTCGCCGGAGCATTTCATGTTACCATAGATATATACAACGACATGTGTTATTGTATATAATAATCTTATGATTTTACATAAACGCTTCACCCAGTACCACTCAGACGTATCTGTCCTAGACGCATTGTCTGGTTTCTGCTTTGTTCACAATCATGATACGAATGGTATACTAGCAGTGGTTCACAATATAATGATCAAAATCGCGCCCACGCTTGCGCTTGCAAATATCAGGCTATGCCTGCTGCTGTTACTAAAAACCAGCCTAGTGTTTGCATAGTAAATTATAACTAATAGGGCGGCCTCCGCGGCGCTTGCGCTCAGTAGATTACGGTGCCGTTAAAGCCTTGATAACTCAACAACACTATTCCTTGATGACGATTTTTTTACCGTATTCCCGGGCCGGCGATACCAAGATCTGAATTCTTTGACTCCGGCCAACAAGAGATACTTGGGCTAGGCCTAGCGGATATCGCGCGATACCGTCTAATTTCGACCCTGGGTCATGCATAGATCATTGCACTATCCTCTATTGGCCAAAAATAAACTCTAGTTCGCTTCCAATTTACTGCCGCGGTCGGCGCGTCTGTCCCTATAAACGGCTATTTTAGGACACTAATACAGTCTTCCCGATGGTTCGTTTGACCAGTTTCCCACAAGCTCCAAACGGCAAGCGGTGCAGCCGGGTCCGGCCATCTCCGGCGGCGTGGCGCCGCGTACAGCGGATCACTACGGGGGCAGCCAAAGATAAAACACGATCTGAGCGTCACTGTCACCCACTTCGATGTTTATGTCTGTTTAAAAAGTCAGCGTTTGGTCCGATATACCTGATTCTTCGCACCCTGCCATTTGCTGCTTGTTGGGAGTACGCCGCAGTTCAAGGGGGAGGACTAGAGGTGTATTTTGGCATAATTGGTTAGTCATGGTTATGCATGGACACCGACGAAGTATTTGTCCTAGTCTTAGTACTAAAGAAATTAGCGTCTTGGATGCGGCAATTGTGCGGCTTAAGTGACTTAAGATTAAGATGGAACGGCTCCATCTTACTTAGTACGCCACAGACAATTTTGCAAGGACAGAGACGGGATATTTAAGAGGATTACTGGCATATTAGAACCAAGACTAAGGGTACAGGGTATTAGATAGTACCAGCAGGGTTAGTTTCGGTATACGCGAACCGTACCCAGGGTACTCTCGGAGCATAACCCTGGGCGGCGACTAGTGATCCACTCAGCATTAGCAATGCCTGATCCAGGATTACTACTGTTCCCCCAGGGGGTGACTGCCGGAACGTACCCTGGTCGGCTCCGTATACCGAAACGGTACGCTGGGGGCGCGGCGGTCGGGCCGGGCGGCGGAGGCGGCGGGCTACTAAATACTACTATCTAATATGCTGGACCGTACCTCGCCTACTCCACTAACGAGTCTAGGGAGTCGCCTACGCTTACTCCCTAACCATAACCCTAACCCTAACCCTAACCCTAACCCTAACACTAACTCTAACGGTGGCATTGGTTTTATTGGGCGCAGTGGCTACGGGTACGGTCGTTGAAGCCCCTTTTTGGCGTTAGGGTTAGGGTTAGGGTTAGGATTAGGGTTAGGGTTAGGTTTAGGGTTATGGTTAGGGTTAGGTTTAGGGTTAGGGAATTCTAGCTCATCTAAACTCTCAAATCGTGAATTTATTTCCCAAGGCGTTATTCGAAATCTGCCGCCACCGCCGCCATCTTTGTCTCGTTAAGTATGAAAGCGAATGGACTCCCGTACCCGTAGCCTCGAGACATTAAGATACGGCTACCGTACCCGTACTACCGTAGCTACTGCCTTTATCATTATGGGGACCCATGTTCTCTATCCTTGAACCCATATAATATATGTAGTACCTGATACGACAACGACCTTTCGTGCCCACCACTTACTGTCAATTTCCTCAATAAGACTGGCTGTGCCTGGTAAATAATTCATGATAAGTTTAATCTTTAGGACTAATAACACATAAAAGTCACTCTGCTAAACGATAACTGTGTCATAAACTATGGAGGCTGACATCTTAAGTCTCGCGAGATCACGAGACCTTGGCAGACAACAACCATGGCAGGAGCAGCTAGGACTTTCGCTCGTCTCTCAGTAAGAATTGTAGAATGCCCTGCTAAAGCATTATGTAAAGTCGATTTTCTCGGTTGTATTTGGTTGTTCATATACTATCTATTACATAATTTGTCGTTGTTTTGTAGGTCAATTCGACTAGCCTTCTGAATTCTGCAAGTCGTGAGGCGGCTTCAACACGGCTATTTAACACAGGTACCGGTACTGTATCGAGTACGTACATCACAGTCACTTGGAGCGTTTCAATAAAATATAATGCTAAATAAATACCGAAATCTATTTACTACCAAAGTCTTAATGTTTCTATACTCTCTTTCACCTGTTATTGCCGACAAATACCTGCAAATGCTGTCCTAATACCAGGGGCGTAAATCCGTACCGAGGAGTTGGGGG